CCGCCATATTTGGTGTTTCTGATGGTTTGCTATCCGGTATTTCCTGTTTTGTTATGTTTTTGTGTTTGGCTGACTACATTGTTCCCATTCTAGCACCTAGAATTTTTGACATCGATAATGGACCACCAAACAACAGCAAAGATTCCATTAAATCTGCAGCGTAGTAAAAATTCGACGCAGAGCTGTGGGCTGATGGAAACGCCTCTTTGCACAAAAAGAAGAAAAGCCTAAAATGTACTTCATGCCCATGATCTTGCTGCGGTTGCTTAGGTGGGCCAACAAGTCCAGAATCTGCTTCTCACCTACCTGATAGTGACTTTCTTAGTGTTGCTTCCCGGACTTAACCAACATGGAATCATTTCGAAGTATCTTGGAATGGCCAAAAGGGACATAAACAAGCTTCTCAAACAATAAGGAAAGAAAAATGAATAATTCATCTGCTTTATTCAATGTGATTAATTGAATGTTCATTGTCCCTGGGAACAGTTTCTACTATACTGTTTGGAAACTAAAGTGTTAAAGAAGTAGCTCTTTGTTCTCTGTCACTCTGCCCACAGTTAATAGAAATTCAGATACACCAAATATGGCTTTGTGCATAGTATCTTCATGTCAAGTATAATTGGGTCCATTCTCATCAGTTGGCCTTGTATGGAAAACTCATTATTGAGTATGACTTATTTTGATTTTTCTCACCCAGTGTTAATTGAATTCTTACTTTTAGGCAACTTCCTTTGAAATAATATGGTGGTGAACTTTACCCTTTAGTATAATGAAAGTGACTTTGGATAATTGTTGGAGTTGATCTTTGCTTTAGCTAGGTACACGGTCATGGTCTGTGGCTATAGGAAGCTGGTTCTACTGTCTGCTTTCACAATCTGCTTAAAAAACTGTCTGATTTCAGAAATACAGAGACCAAGTTTACCACTTCTGATGAAGAGACTGATTAAGAATCATTCCTCATTTTGTTTCTTTGCTGTGGGAGAAGAATGCCCATGGAATAAGTTGAAACTAATTCCATGCCCTAGTGTGTGTAGGTTTTTCCCTTGTGCAAAACTTAGAAATTTGTAGGAAATATTGGTCTTTTCTCCCAAATGAGGAAAATCTGACAGGTTGAGAGCTCTTGTCCCCCTGCACTAAGACTTCAAGTTAGTAAATACGTAAAGGCTTTTTAATAGCAGACTTCCAAAAGATTATATTTAGCATTTTTTAGCATACTTTTATTTTCATGTTTTCAGCTGACTTTAGCTATATGTACAGTAGGTTAAGACTCTTGTCTATGGCCTTTACTCCAAAACTAGCTAGCAAAGGCCAAAAGTCTTTTCTGTTTAGTCAAGATTCATTTCAGTAGGAAATAATCTTACCTAATTTTGGAGAGCAGAATAAGCCTTTAAAGGTAATCCTCAAAATTCTCATTTTATGGTAATTACTTGGCCATTTCAGTCCCCATAGGTTTGGCATAGGAGATAGTGACTACACTGGGTCTGACTTTTTTCCTAAATATTTATCTGAAAAAAGCAAGGACTGTTGGTGAGAGCAGACTTGAGGTGATGATAGTTGGCTTCTGGTCTACTTAGATTTTGTAACTCCTTGGAAAGGTTCTTATAATCATTCTTTCCTTCTCAGTAGCTAGAAATTTAGAGTAGTTGAAATCTGTAGGAACGAACCTCTGAGTGCCAAAAATGTGACATATTTGGGAACAATTCTTTTTTGTTTTGTTTTCACGCTTAACAAACATTTATTGAGCAGCAGAATATGAATTTCTAGATCCTGATCACCAACTCTGGTGACAATTGAGATATTTACCCTTCAGTTCCTTGGGCTTCTAACCATCAACGGCTCAGTAAGATTCTGATTTCATCTGAAATTCACCTGCATTACAAATGATCTACTCAGAGTAGGCCTGGCACACAGGAGGGAGCTGAGTGGGGACACACTGAAAGCAGTCCCAGGTGTGGTACATCTCACAGACACATTTATTCCTGCCAAAGTAGACGGCACTTATGCAAGTGTCCAGGGATGTTCCACGTTCCCACCTAACATAGTTGCTGAGATCTACAGGCAGACTGACGTTCCCTCTTGTGCACTCCAAGGGAGGCTGGTTAGTGATGACCATGAGCAGGTGCAGGAGCTTTCAAAGCTTTACTTCTTTCATCTGCACTCCTGATTTTATAAACAATAAAGCTCATCAAGCCCATTCCGATCCAGATCTCCTGGTAAACTTGGGTATAGTAGGGTTTCATGGGGACCCACACAATTTTAATAATGCTTTGAAGCATTTCGGCGCCAGACCAACGGCTCGGGCCGTAGCACAGACCCATGGCCAACGTCCCTTTGGGAACAATTCTTAAACTGATTAGTTGTAATACAGTTTTGTGACTCTATTGCACTGATGCTGTGGTATATCTGTCCCTGTTAAGTGTTATTTTCTCCCCCTTTAATATTTCTGTAAATGGTGGTACCCATTGTAGCATGTGTTTGATTTTTTTTAATGTTTCATGTGAAAACAACCTTAATTTTACATTTGTTTCTTCGTTCTAAATAAGCCCATCTTCCTACTCAGATTTTTTGTATGTATACATGTTCTACTGAATTCTACTGCTTTTGCAGTTTTAATACTAGGTTATTTCTTCTACTTTGTTTTATATAAAAGGGAAAAATTGAAAAAGCTGGGAAAAAAATTACATGCAGCAAAATTGATAGATGTGAAATGAGAAATAGACAAATCTGCAATTACAGTCAGATATTTCTATACTCCTCTTTCAATAATTAATGGAACAAGTACACTAAAAAATTCACTTTTAATCTAAGAATATGGAAGGACATATTCTAGGCCAGGCACGGTGGCTTGTACCTATAATCCTAGCACTTTGGGAGGTCGAGACAGGAGGATTGCTTGAGTCTAGGAGTTCAAGACTAGCCTGAGCAACATAAAGAGACCCTGACTCTACAAAAAATAGAAAAAATTAGCCAGGTGCACAAGTACGCACTGTAGTTCCCACTACTTGGGAGACTGAGGCAGGAGGATTGCTTGAGCCCAAGAGTTTGAGGTTGCTGTGAGCTATGATGAGGCCACTGCACTCTAGTCCAGGCAACAGAGTGAGACCTTGCCTTGGAAAAAAAAAGAAAAAGGACATATTATTCTATAAGGCTATAAGGTGTTGGAGCTTAGATACTAATGCCCTAAAATGTGGTGCTTTGTACAAACTTAACTGAAAAGTTCTCTCTGACCTCTCCCCC